TTTCAGGTGGACACAAAAATCCTTTCTGGCATTAAAGCGCCGTCACCCGTCCAGTCCACAGGTGAAATTCCACATGGTCACTGTAATCGCGCTCATTAAAAAGGTCCTCAGTGCAGTGTTAAAGGAGATGTGTGGAAGGATAATTGTCAGTATCGCCACGGAGGTCATCGGTGTCAATGCTCACACATTTCTGTTAGGACAGTGCCACGGGATAATGACCTAATTATCCTGTTAGGGAGGCTGACTCTGGCTCTGCACCCAGACTCAAACCCTTCCTCTCTGACAGAGCCTATAGGTAGGGTTGGCTTAGAAGAACCAGAACTATCCTTTAGCTCTGCTGCTCTAGGCTTAGACCACTGGTGGACTTCCCATAGTGCTCCGAGCACATCGTTAAACGCACACAAAAAATAAGTTTACATCATGTTAATAATTTGGTTTCCTCTAGTTGGTACTCTCTTACTCTCCGTCTCGTCTCTAACTGTTTTCACTACCGTCCCAGTATTATTTTTGAGTACCAATGAACACTCCTATAAATTAGCATTATTACCATGTTATATCCAATACTACTGATAATAGTGGTTCTCTGACCATACTGAATGTTAGACAGTATTTAGATCGTAGTGCTTCTCTGAAAAGTTAACGTAAAAACCCTTTTAGCAGGCAGCTGCACACTCTGAGTCTTGATCTGTCGGGCATTTTTGTCTTCTCAGATTTGGGCTCAGTGTGATTTTATTCAGTTTCTAAGATCATGTCAAGCACAACATGCTCCACTTTGTCCTGCTGGCGTAGTTTTTAAAAACATCCCATTTTCCTGCTGTTGCAAGAGCGTGTGGGAAGATGGTTTATTTTCATGTCAATCAATAAACCCCATTGAGGAAAAATGTGATTCTTGGGCTGTGGAGATAAAAGAGACTTGACTTGAGCTGACTAATACAAAGATAAAAGTGAGTCAGCTTCATCAGCAACTGCAAAAAGATTCCCATTTTCCTTTTTAAGAAAAAGACAAATATTGCACAACCCACCTACACGATGACATAATGAAGGCCGCACTTGACTTTTTCTCTTTTCATCTTGATGATAATGATGTTAGAAACAGACCCATCAAAAATATGCAAAGTGAATTATGTTGCTGCCTCAGCCTACGTACTGTTTGTGCCAGTTTCCCATCAAATAATCCGCAGCAGCTGCACTCCACCACCACGGTGGTATATTTACATTACTGTCATCTTCACACAGATGCAGATGTACAATAAAAACTTGAACTCACCACAGTTGAGTGTGTTAGTATCAACGGCTGGGTTATAACACCACAGCTATCATCAATCTGCGAGCAGCGGTGGAACTGGATTCCCGTGAATCGGTTCTAATTTTAATAATCTCACTCCAATGAAAAAGTCTGACATACAGATATTAAGCTTAACGTCATCTTAAGCTCAGTAGTGGAGTGGATACTGTGTACTTCATAGGATTTAAAATGAAAATACTAATTTTTGAGAATTTTTCTCTTTTTTAAAAAAGAAGAGAACTCCTGTTAAGATGTTATCTGCTAAAATATCATTTTAAATTCAGAAAAATACAGCTAACGTTTTATTGATTGCTAATTTTGCACTAGTAAAATCTATCTATCTATCTATCACTTTTATTTTCCCAGTTATGAATATATGTATGTATGGATATATTTTTAACATATTTTTTGTTCACAAGCCCTGTAGAGCATGATTTGCTTCACAGCCTAGACTGTGGAAATCCCTGCCCCAGAGAGATTACACTGTCGAAGGACGATAAACAATAAAAGCTTTGTTAAGTCACGTTTTTACACACAGGTACATTTACAATATGGGCTTTACGATGATGATAAATCTGACGCCATCTTTCTTTGTATCCAAACACTGTGGTTTAAACACCAGCAGACAGTCCGTCCGTCGTGTTGAGAAAGAAAAAACACAGTAAGAAAAATGGCCGTGTGATGTAAACACCATTTAAAAACTTAATTAATTCCCAACGGCATCTCCAAGCCCTGTTGTATTTGTGGACCACTGAGATCTTCACTCTTTATCATTATGAATACACAATATTTGTTTGTGTAAGATAGTGAGAGAGAGAGAGAGAAAGATGGACACAGCATGTCTGGAGAAGTTTTCGTGATGCAGTAATGAATGTCTCTCTGGTGGATCAGCATGTAAACACTGGAGGAGAATGAACTCTGGCAGCAGCCATTCCCATTTGGCTCAATTAGACCCGAAAGTGAGACAATCACTGGTGCTGGCCTTTCTGCCGGCCCGCCTGTTGGCGACAGCACCGCACTAAGTAAAACAAAATGGGAATAATCAAAGTCCATAATTAGTTGGCCTGAGAGGAGCCTGTTTTTACCCAGCTGTAGCCACACGGCAGCATGGAGATGAGGCATTCACTGGCAGAACATGGAGATGAATGCAAAGCCAGAAGGGAAAGGAACAAAGTGTGGTGCAGTGGGAGCTCCATTGTTATACAGTAAAACAAAATCAGTGACACACAACCTCTATCTTGGCAACAAGAGCAGGGGAGATGTTGAAATATGATGAAAAAGTTACTGTGGCGGGTTCTTGATCAGGACAAAGACTTGGATGATCACGAGGGGGGGGGCAGTGGGGTGGGGGGATTCCCTCATGTTCTGGTAAATAAAATAAAAGAAAAACAGAAAGCAAAACAAAAAAAAAGCTTCACGACAAGGAGGCGCTTAAGGAGTTGACAGGAAATAAATATATATTTATATATATTTGTCCGCAGCTAGCGTTGTGGTTTCACAGGGGGTTGATGTATAACCGCCCGTCAGTAATCTGTCCAGATCCATGAAAGGAAATTATTATGATTCTGCAGTCTGGAGCTGCTCTGATCCCAATTTAACACATTCTTCATAGTTAACACAGACACCTGAACGGAAAGTGAGCAGAGCTTTTGCACCAGCAGCTCATTTAAATTAAAAACACTGTTTTACAATTCCAACTGTCACTTAAACCTACTACATACTACATTTGGTACCAGGCCACAGTGGGACACTGAAAGGTGTTTTTTATTTTGAAAATGTAGCGATATTACTGGTCCGCAGATAGTTGGTCTCCAGTTAATCTATTTAAAAACACAGTCATCCTCTCAGGGAGCCGGAGTCTTTTACACCTTTAAAGGCTGCAAACATGAACTCCGCCGTACCTGACAGCAGCAGGAAATAACAAAGCTTTTTAGGGCAGCATCCCAGATGTGAGGCAGATGGTTTTAACCTACTTTACCTACTTTACTGGGCCTGTTGTCAACTGTAGGAGGGGGAAAAAGCTGGAAAAATAAAGCATGTTAAAGCCGTGGGAGGGGCCTGAGAGATGTGCCCTAACTTGATTCACTGATCATTTAAAATGTTTGACATATTTCTGGACATTTTCTGACCGACTCTTGAACTTCCCTTGACTAAGTTCTACATTTTGGTGAATGATCTAAGACGTCCAGATGTATTGTTTCATTGTTAACGTTAACAAATGGTTTAACCCGACTTCATAAGGTACATATTTAAAATTCATGCACTTGGGTCTCTGCTCATTTGTTTCACACACACACCCATACACAGAGTCTGGCTAGAATGATTGTCAGGACTGGTCCATACACATGCGTTTATGTGCTGCACTTCAAACAGTGCTGAGAAGAAGAGGGGGAGTTGGGGGGGGGGGGCTGCTGCAATCAAAGTGGACCTGCCCTGCATCTCAAACCTGAATGTGTGGGAATAATAAGTCCACTGAATGCCGACTGGCAGCGTGAGGAGCTGCAGCACATGAATAGGAATAGGAGCGTGCACGGTGGCGCGCTCGTAAAAAAGGCCTCTGTGAGTGCTGCAGTCATTTCAGTGGGATATAAAAAACAAATGATAATGTGCAGATGCTGAAACAGAGAACACACAGAGCGACACAGTGTAACACAACAGCAACATAGAACAAACACAACAGGATGTGAAACCTTTACTCCTCACCCGCCCTCCCCCTCATTGCCCCCCTCCCTCCTCCTCCACGCTGACGGAGGCTGTTTTATGAGAAGACTGGACAGATAAGGATGCTGTTCTCCGTGCAATCGCACTGCCTTGTTTTTCCCATGACATGAATAATGAAGGATATTCACCTTGTTTATCTCTCAATTAAATATTTACTCCTTGTCAGATGCATTTGGGAGCTTTTTATCATCGCTGCTCCTCAGGAGGAACTGTGTCCCTCTATGGTATTTGTCCTCAATGTCAATGTTTGATGAAGACCACGGTACAGGCCTGGAGGAGTGTCTACCTGTCTCAGTTGTTTTTGATTTTATCCTCTCCTCATGTTTGGAGTGTCTCTCCTCCTCAGGGACTCTCTTTTTTCTCTGAGTCCCCTCAAGGTAAATTTGGCTGAGATTGTATTAAATAAATATAACTAGGTCACTGGCTTCGTGAGGCAGTGCCATTGTCGGCTTCAAGTACCGCCGCAATACCATCAGTGTTTGTATTAAAAGCCTTTTCATTTTACATTTTAATCCCATTCATCATTATTCTCCTGTTGAAATTCTCTCGGCAAAATGAATTTAAACTATAAAAATAAAATACTGTGCATGTCTATACTGAAGTTGAAAAAGCTTTATTATCATACAGAGTTTATCGTCTAACTTCAGTGGATTTGTAAAAACGAAATTTTAAAAGGAGTTTATATTGTCATAAATGTTAACTATTGAATGTTGACTCCTTTCTTTTTTAGGAGTATATATATATAGGTAAGAGTTACAATTTTCTTTTTTAGGAGTATATATATATATAGGTAAGAGTAGGTAGGTGAGAGTTGCATTTACTTGAGTAACCCTTTCAAAATAAAATACTTCAAGGAGTAATTTTAAATCACTATACTTTTTACTTTTACTTGAGTAGATTTATGAAGAAGAAATACTCTTACTGCGCTACATTAGGCTATACTGATTTGTTATTTTTATCCAGTATTCAGTTCTGTATTGATGATCCAGTATCTCTAGTATTATTTTGTCAGAGAGAGACTTCCGCCCAAGGCTTTACCGCGTGACTGTGTTTAACCAATAAAACGTAGCCCTTGCCGCGCAGTCTCGCCACGTGATACGCAATCTCAGCGGCGGGACGGTTTAGTTTAGCGGCTAGTGTTGTCGATATCCACCGTCTTCGATAGCAAACAATAGTAGAATCAACAGTTGGCGATGCAGACGAGGACGAGGAGACACACCCCTGGACTCATACTGAAAGCATGTTTAGTTTATAAACAGTGCGAAACAGCAGTTACGTCATGCGGCGTCTTTTGTGTCTCCCAAAACAAACGGATATTTCAGCATTCAAAAAGTCATCGTCTAACCTGAGGAAATATGTTGCAGTAAGTTTGACCTTAAATCATTTTATTTATATTTATTTTTTATTTTTTCTAATGTACTCTAATGTTTTTCATTGATTTTTATTTTTATTCAAGTACTTGGATTTACCTAAAGATTATTTTAAGGCATTAAATTATTTTGATTTATTTTGTTATTTTATTGATGGGATAAACTGTCCTCCTTGTAATTTTGTCTATCTGATTGAATGCTCATTAAAAAATAAAGCAGATGTAACTCAACAGTTACTCAGTAATTGAGTAATATTATTCTGAAGTAACTACTTTTACTTGAGTACAGTTTTTGGGTACTCTAGCCACCTCTGTATATACTGTGTGTGTGTGTATATATGTGTGTGTATGTGTGTATAGCTGATGCCTCAGCAGCAATATTCAGCCACTCATATTCAGCCACTCATATTCAGCAGACAATTATTTGCTGCAGAAGGACCATGTGACTGTCATGTCTCTTGTTGTTCTGTAGTGAAGTGTGTTTGCGAGTGCACACAGAACAGGTTTTTACACACACACACACAATATTAATTATTAAACCCTAGCGCTTCTACTCTGTTAGTGACCACAGCACATTAAACCTTTGCGAAATGTACAGCTAGTGACCACAGCACATTAAACCTTTGCTAAATGTACAGCCTGTAGTACTGTAGTATTGTAGTACTGTAGTACTGAGCTCAGTTTCACCAGAGCACTTTTTCTCACATCTATGAAAAATGTTCATATGTAAAACTTGTTCTTGAATTGAATTCTGCGCTGTGTTAAAGCAGGTGTCAAGTGACAAATGAAACCACATTTGGTGTATGTTGTGTTAGGAAGAACAATGTTCAGGGCAGGAACTGCCATCCCATAATACCTCCACTCCCACCTACTGTAAAGAGGTTATCCAGGAAGTGAAATGATGGTTGGGCTGATATTGATGTTTTTTAAAGTGAAGCTTGTGGGAAACCTAAATATATGGACGCATGGATTTTTCATAAGTAGATTTGTGGTCAAACTCGACCTCCTTCAACAATACAGTCAAGAAAGGTCAGTGCTGGAACAGAGAGCTCAATTCCCTTCAAAGACAGTGATTCATGTCTGTGGGAAATGAAAAAATGGCAAATTCAAATAAAAAAATGTTGCTCAAACAAATGTATCTTAAAACACTCATCTTCTTCTATGAACATGACATTTAAAGTCAACCTTTAAGAAAATTAACCAACGTGAAAAACTCAAGATTTGATTTTTCAGTAACACCTAAACATGAGAAAAAAGTGAAACTCAGATTACACCATTAAAATTAGGATATAAAATATGTTAAAAAAAATGTTTTCTTCATGTCACAATTTCCTTCTATGTTCTGTTCCTTCTGTTTGCTGTTAAAAATGCTGCCAAGGTTTTTTTTCCCCTATTTTCCTATAAAAAAAAAGTGGATTAACATAAATTTCTCATTCTTCTTTTCCCATGTTGGTGCTCAATCTAGGGTGACTGAGGAGCAGCACTCTGTGATGTGACAGCCACCCTGGGTCACAGCCCTGCATTTAGGCAAATAGCAGTGACTTATTTGGTGGATTTTGTGTGGTTGGGGGCTGAGGGGTGGAGGGAGAAAAACTGCAAGTGGAGACATATATAAATCATCTGTGTCGACAAAGATGCGATGTCTCATTATTTGTTGTCTGTTGTCTATTTATCTTAATGTGGAGCCAGATTGAACAGGTAATGGTTATGACTGAGGTTACTGGTTCAGACTACGGAGAGAGTAAGGTTTAGGGTTCAGGTTCGAGTTAATGGTTTAGAAAACGGTTATTATGGTCTTTTAGTCTTTTGTATTTTAACCTTTTTGGATGAGAACCTGTTCAAATGATTGACGCGCATCATCAGGTTTGGATCTAGAACCATCTGAAAGAACAGTGGATTTCAGTCCTGAGGTCAGACAAAGCGGAAGGCTGTGACCTGGTGTCAAAGGTCATCCTCCAGAATTCCACAGAGAAGAAATTCTCTGATGGAGTCACCACTGGAGGTGAGAGGAGGCTAAGTTGTGAGGTTGGAGGAAAGATAGAGATTGGATATTTAAATAAATTAAGTTTGGGTTTTTTTAACTCGCCCTTGTGTCATTGCACATACAATATAATTTATACAGCATTCAACACTGATGTTTTATTGAGGATGTAGTTCTTCCTCGGTGGCACTACATCAGAGTATGTTGTTACATGAATATATATATGGGTTAGAAACATCAACACTTTACTGCTGATGGAGAGATATTCAGTGTAAACACTTCAGGTGCTGTCAAGGAGCTGGAGATCATCTTTAAGAGCTCTCCTCCCTGCACTGAGAGCCGAAGCCCCTTCCTGTTGAAAGGTCAAGTGCCGCAGCGGACGCATGTGAGTTGAAGCTGCTTCCACCGTCAACACCGCTGTGTGTTTTGTCTCTTTGTGCTCTGCAGGACATGAAGCCAAAGGCTAGCGAGCCTTGTAATGGTTAATCAATAGAGTCAAAGTCCCTGAACTACAGCTGTAGATATTTAGGATCCGAACCAAAATAATAGGCTTGCACCTGTCTGCGGCGGCTGACCAGGAAAGTCAATACTTTTGTACTTGAGTTCCAAATTGATGGCAGCTGACCAGAATGATTTCGACCAAACAGAACAAGACGGAAGAGAAAGAAGGGTCGTCAAGACGTTAAGATCGTCTCTTCCTGAAAGATCTGTGGTGTCATCTATAATTCTCTGGTTTATTTAGGTCTAATTTTGTGTTTCTGTAGTAAATGGTCACGTTACTTTGGTAGCATATTCTCCATTTTTATTTTCATTAGCCTGTTACTGAATATGACATATATTTATAACAGCTTCCTTCCAAGTGGCACGAGTTGGGGTATGTCTGTTTAACCATCTAACATTTAGCTGCGACATGCTACGGCTAGTTTCAGTGGTGCTGGTCACATCCATTATGAATGGGAATTGATCAAATGTACAGATTCCAATTCCCATTGAACTCTCAGTGGTTTGGGTAATAAAACATAGTAATACATTAATTTCCCAAAGGGAACTCCCAAGGGATCTATCTACCTATCTATCTGTGTTTTTTGGCTGTAACTCCTAAATGCAAAGAATCCTTTGACGTTCGTTCAGACGTGCCCCATGCTAAAGGTGTTTACCAACTTTGTCATGGTCAAAGTTGTGCATATCTGTGATGTCATCAAGCATTTACATCATCAAGGAAAGGGCGACTGTGGAGTTGATAAATGGAATTGTAAAGCAAGAAAACTAAGGATTCCAAAGAACCAGAGCAGTCAGAAACGATTCCCTACAAGAACTGACTCTAAATTCCATCCCTGTTCTTCTTCAAAAACAAAGACAAATCCCCAGAAGACATGTTAAAACGCCAGACGTGTCATTAAGAGAGTGAGATGAAGAACCTGTTTGAGGTTTACTTTAGAAAAACCGACAGAATATCAGACTCTTAAACTAGCGCTTTCCAAACTTTTCTCTTTCAAACGTCCATTCGTATTTATCCTGGGATTTTAAGCCTGGTTTGTTCGTCCGACAAAAGATGCAGCTGCAAGAAAAAAAAGAGCTGAGATTATAGAGCTTGGATATTACTCAGAATACACTGAGAGCACACGTGCATCAATTGTATAACGTATAAATGTGATATATGCAAATAGACCTGTGATGCACAACACCTTCACACATCCAGACTTGTGAGCTAGTTCTCATTAGGCTGAAAAAATCCACTAAATAAACCATGGCCAACACCATGCTTCACATTATTGGACTTGAAAGATGCTGCTGCTGGATTTAGTATGCTGCACATGCCGCCTCTCTTACTTCAAAGTGCAAACAATGAGACTTGATTTGTCCAGGAGGTGAGCTCTCCCCCACTGCAGCACAGAAATTAAGGCGGTACACTGCCATCTTGTGAGAGAAAGACAAGCAGACGAACGTCTATGAAAAACCAGCTGATAGACGACCAGTAAATGACCAGCTGCAAATGTGAACAGATTAGTGGCTGCAGCTCCAAACCACGTTCTGGGTTCACCCATGAGTCAGACATGTATTATCTGTTAGCTTTTTTTTTTTTTTTTTTTACAAGGACTGAGTAGTTAAGCCTGTGTGAAAGGACCATTGAACTCTCTGGGGTATTAGCATGTTAATGACCTGCTCCCTCTGTTACCATTTTATCTGCAAGAATGTCAAGGCTAATTTTTGTAATTCCCAGCGATGGCAGCCGACGGTGCATCGTGCACCATGTTCTTCTTTTGTGGCAAATGAGGCAGCAGTGCTTAGAGGAATACAGACTTAGAAAACAGTATGTTTTCATTTGAGTAGAGGAAGAAATATTTGTATAAATGCGGAGTGAAGAAAATCAATGTAACACACTTAGAACAACAAACTTTGAAGACTAAATTGTTTTTTGGAAATAAAGTCAGTGTCGTAAAATTTCATAGGTTTTCAATTTGGAGAAACAAGACCAGGACTTTTGTGGATTTTTTTTCAGTGTAGTCCGCGGCTGAAGTGTCTTAATGATGACTGGTCTAGACCAGAGGTCGGACACCTTTGGCGCCTGGGCCACATGCAGCTAATCAGCCTTTTTATTATTACCTTCATGTGAGGTTTTATGGGTTGCAGTATTTTCCAAACAAAACCACCGTTTGCTGATGACGCCTTGTTTTTCACCACAGTTATTAGAAAGCAACTTTTTACCAACTCGAACTCGACCTTTCACCACAGTTATTAGAAAGCAACTTCTCCAACACTCGAACTCGACCATCTCCTTACCAACCTTCCTCAGTCTGTCGACCTTGCCTCCCCCTTTCCTCACCCTCTCAACACTCTCCCCCTATAGGGTTGCATAGTGAGTCCACAACTATATTGACTTTATATATACATGAGTGCATATCCTTTGACTTTTCTCAGTTTTTATAACTAGATTTGCAGATGACACACCATTATTAATACTTATGAAGGAGTAAGAACGGGACAAAAGGGAGCATGGTGAGAGAGTTACAAT